TGCAGGTAGCAAAGTTAATAAACAGCCAACTATCGCCAGCTGCATGTTTGCTATTGGAAGTGTTCTTCAACCACTTGTTAAAAAAAAAAAAGGGTGGGGTGTAATGGCAGTAGAAACTGGCTGGCGATGAAAATATGTTTCAGAGGGACAGAACAGGACAGGAGGTTGTGAAGAGAGAAATGAAGGAGAAGTGGCAAAAGAAAAACATGATTGCCTGATGTTATATCATTGGTGTATCACCATTTTATATCATTGGAGCGCTGAAAGAAGTCAAGGTTTGGCATTAGTTTGTGTTTTCATATCACTAACTTTCATTTAGAATAAACACACATTATCTTCAAACACGTCAGTACCTTTGAAATGTACAAGATGCTTGATCTCTGTCCCATTAAACCCAGTAAAGAAGACAACCTATGTCACAGTCGAGCTTCCACTGACTGTGGAGAATCTTAGAAATCAGGCTCTTCCTTTTATGCATTGAACCTGACATTTTATTGACTTGTTTTATCTTGATTTTCCCTCTTAAAACAAATTATAACCTTTGCATGAATACAGTTAAATATACTCTACATTCTGTGTGTTTGCAGTGAGGGAAACCAGAAGAAGGCCCCTGGTAATAAACTGCCTACAACCACTCCACTCCCAGGCAAAAATGGGAACCCCACCTTTGCTGCTGTAGCTGCTGGTTATGACAAAAGTCCAGGTAAACGGGTAACAATGAATTAACACTTCATCAAAGTGTGAACATTGTTCTTAACAAGGGGACGCTGATGTTTCGTGTTGTCATCAGGTGGCTCCGGTCCAGGAAAAACTGACAGCCAAGGCAAGAGTCTGGCACACATGACATCAGTGGAAAGTGACAGCTCTGACAGGTACAGAGAGAAAATGAGCACAATTACAAACAGTCATATCAAGACACTGGTTCTAACAGATATTCATGTTGTTTCCTCTTGAAGCTCTGGTTTATGGAGTCCGATTGACACAGCCAGCAGCCCACACTACCAATCTGCCAACTCATTCTCCGCTTTTGGGCCCAACAATTCCTTCAACCTGACTGGAGGTAACTCGGTCCCTCACCACCGTCTTACGAGCAAACATAAGAATGTAGAGCAACTGGTTCGACAGTTTATCGTTTGCTACGTTCATACTGAAGTATGTGTGTGTCGATTTTAGTTTTCAGTGGAATAACCCTCCCAAAGTCGCCTGAGCCGCAGCAGAGCTGGCCCGAGTTCACCACCGTTCCCTCCTCTATCTGGGACATCTCGAGCAGCGACTCCCTGCACTCCTGGCCCAGCAGCTCCAGCTCGCCGACCGCCCCGACTGCAGTAAGATGATCCGCTGTTTGTCATTTGTGTAGCTACCAGATCCTCGTACTGTTCAATCATACCTTGCTTTCTTCTTGTTTTTTAAAAATTTTTTTTATCCTTAGTCACTCCTGGGAAACACCCGCAATCCGTGGTCTACCACCACACCCTTCGGCAGCTCCATTTGGTCAACAGACACGGCCTTACCTTTTGCTCCAACAACCAACTCGACAGCTCTGACTGATCTGGTCAGCAGTCCCGCCCCGTCGCCACCGGCAACCACTGAGATGAGCCGGACCTACAACCCGTGGAGCATGTGGCGCCCCACCCTGAGCAGGCGCAGCTCTGAGCCGTGGCCCAGCTCCTCTGACAACGCAAATTAAACAGCACTTAACAGAAGTACTCTGTACGCTAAATCAAGTCTTTTACAATCAGAGAATCCCGACAGAACGCATCTGCACCCTGCATTTAGTTCTCTGCCGCTTTTTATCCATGGGGGCAGAAATGCTAACTTTTATTTGGATTTGTTTTAACAGGTGCCCCTAAAGTGAAAATGTTGATAGCATGTTATATGCTAAAGCCAGTGCAGACAGTTTGCTGCTGTAGAAAAGCTGGTAATGCTGCATTCCTTCTCAAAGTTTGGCGCAGAATCTCTAAAGTACAGTATTAATGTCGGAACAGACGTGTCATTTTAAGCCACATGTCTCGTTTTCACAATCATTTTGGTTCCCACTGGTTTTATTAAAGTCAAATTCGCATCCAGTCATGTTGGAATCATTGCCTTTTAATTGGCAGCAAGGATCTTTCATTATCTCATGGGGGATTTTTTTTTTTTCACAACACAAACGGCCCAAAAAGCTTCAAGAACGATCACGTTCCCCATTTTCAAAGTGATATCAAAGCCTTCTGTGACAATAAATTGGTCATGTGATCAAAGAGTATTTAAGTTTGAGGTTTGTATTGTACATCGCCTCTATTTGTCAGCAAATTTAAATAAAGGATTTCAGCAGAATGTCTTGTTTTGAGGGTTTTATTCTATTTCAGGCAGTAAAGGACACCAATCAGCCACTACATCGTGTCTGAGCCACCAAGGCGGCTCTGACCCGGCAGGTTACGGCTGCAGGACCTCTGAAGGTGTTCTGTGGTGTCTGATACCAGGACATTAGTGGATCCTTTGGGTTCTGTGGGTCAGACTTAGAGAAACTCCTCGTCCTCAGACAGAGCTAGACAGGCTTCTTTTGACTGGACTTTCACTGATTGAAGTCCTGTGTTTATTTAGTAAAATCTGTCTGTGATAAAGCTGCTTTTCTGTCTCTCAGTGACCAAAGCTTGAAGTATTGATCTTTTTGTTGATGGCTCACTTGATGTTTTGGACACAACTGATCCAGTTTCCTCAGCTTGTTTGAGAGCTTCATTCACTGCCTTTATCCAGCTGTGATCTGTTACAGTCAACGCCACAAACTTGCCTTAATTTGATTGCTGACCTAGAAACAGTGCAGACTCATCATTTTCCTGGTGGATCCACTTCCTGCTGATCGCCTTTCATGTTTTGTTTAGTATTGATTAAAGACTGAAATCTCTACCAAAGTCCAACTTTTATTGCAATTAGAGCAGCCTATGATTAATGAGGTCTGACTGAGGCTCACTCTCTGCAGAGATACAGTGTGCAGTCACACACAGATCCTTTCACCGGTAACTTCATCAATTATTTGAGTCCTCCAACGTGCCAGCAGCACTTAGCGGACATTTAACCTTAGTGCTTCTTCGCTGCTGTTCACTCATTCAGAGTTTCTAGTTTCTCAGCTCGTTGCAGCATCAATGAGCTCTGACTGCGGTCTGCCCGCAGGCTGCGATTGGACGGTTGACTGTGCTTCTGTCAAGCATAAATAACGTGTTTCTGATTCTGAAAAGAAAAGGCTGTCCTCACCTTGTCAAGACAGATTTGCTTTTAGCATCAGCAGGTCTATGCTGCTCTCTGCTGGACAACACTGAAACATGACACACCTCTTTGTTTCTACATCAGTTTTTTTGCTGTGGTTTGATTCTAATGTGCTTCAAAAAACTTTATGTCACAATAAAAACTGTTTATTAACTTATGAAAGACAAGAAAGGAAACAGCTCTTACTTATGTTAATTATGACACCACGAATGAATAGAAACACATATAACTGATTTGTTTTATTTCACCAACAGTGACACTGTATTATATACAACTGCTCCCTCTTTTTAAATATTCTGCTTCATTTTACTTAAAGAAATGGACACAGCTTAGTATTTTTCTTATTTTTTACCATTTAATTCAGACAAAAACAATGACAATTTTAAAGGCCCACTGAGGCGACCTGCTGGATAACTGACTGTACGCGTCACTCCAGGGCTCATCAATAATATTCAATAGGACAAGTTGCTCCCAAAAGAGGTTCTGATCATTGAAATCTGGACCCCCCCGACTCTAATTTAGTTTATCTGAAGTTGTGTGAAATGTAGGAGACTGATGTATTTTTCAAAAAAATGTATTTCAATTATGGAAATGAACACAAATTGTCAGTTTCATATTTAATTTCTTTTAAAAAAAATGATATATATATAGGCAGCTTTATTAACAGCCAGTGTTTCAAACAGGACTAAAAAATATGTCTAAAAAAACAACATTGAACCATCGATGACTTTTCAGTTCCTTCCCACTGTTGCAGACGGCTGAAGCTTGTCGGGAATCCAAATGTTTTGGATTGTTGGGTGTTTCTGCCTTTGTTAAGCACTATGAGATGACTTGTTGTTGTAAATATGCGCTATACAAACAAAATTGAATTGAAAAAATATTTAGACATAAGTAAAAGGCCTGATATACATTTCATGAACTTCTTTATGTCTGTTACAACATCTGCCCACATCTGGACTGGTGTGGTGCAGTAGATTGTGGGAAGTGGGGCACACTTAGCTTCCTATACCATGAAAATAGAACATCAAGTGTGAGCTAAAAGTGCCTTTTGCTTGAGTTGTTGAACGCTAACCTGACATGCTTAAGAACAGGACTAAAATATATGTGAAAAATATCTATATTTTCTGACTGTCGCTGTAATTTGATTTGATTTCTTTTGTCTTCCATGACTCGCTTCAGTTGAATATTCCCTGTATAATACATTTAAAATGTGTAAAACCGTTGACATGATGGTTAATATCTCTGGTCAGATGTGTTACGTAACATGTTTCCTAAACTGCAGCCTTTGAGATTTGCTAGTTGTATTGTTTCCATTTGCAATTTTGATTTGAAGTCACCATTTAATTCTAGTCAGAATACAAGTGTGGATACTGGAACACACCTGATATGTCAATGTTTTAAAAAAAACAAAACACACACGTCAGTATTTCACCAATATTCACACAATAAAAGTCTCTCTTCAGTCATTGATAAAACTCATCTCTATGTATCAAAACTGTATATTTAAATGTTTTCCCCCATTAAAATACTGCCTTCATGCCTTAAAATGGCTTCGATGTAACTCTACACAGCTGCTTGTTTCTGCATATCAAGCACACCAGTTCACCTATGATTTTGTTCAAATACTGTAAAGAACTGCTCGACACAACATGCTGGCACGCTGCAGGTTCAAGGTAGAAATGTTCAGCTGTGGTGCTTATTAGGTATTTATCAAACACCATATGAACATGTTAAAGTTGAAAAAAAAAAAAACAGGATTTCTTTTTACCAGAGGGGGTTCATCAAGGCAACAAACTTTACAAACAGAAATAGAATAGAACTTCTCTACAGTCTTTCCATTTACACACTTGAAGATGATCAGAAAAGCACAATTTTATCCATAATTTACAACCAACAGCATCGTTACTGAGCTCGTTACAAAAATACATTTGCTTTTAATACTTCAATTAAAGAAACCAGTTTAGTTTACTAATGGCGCCACAATCTTGAGCTTGATTTTACAAAATTAAAGACTTTCGACTATAAACTGATGCAGAAATTCCATGTTTAGAAAGATTCACCAAAATGCAGAAAATTTGTAAAAATTTTGAATAAACTTTAACTTTTTTTACAGGGTTGTCTGAGGGACTTCAATAGCAGCTGACTGAATTTGGCACGGTCACATTTGGTCATGATAAACACATTGTGGCTCTTCTTCAGCTGATTGGTGCGATCCACTGCCATCATGCCGCGAGCGATGGAGCCCTGCAGCTCCACTCGGACTGCACTCTCGATGCTCTCCGTCACCACACTGCTGTCAACGCAGGCGGCCATTGCGTAAGCATCATAAGAGACAAAACCAGGCCCAAAGTACACGTCTCTCTTGTTCCTCATTGACTCCCTTGAGTAGGCCCAGCATTCAGCGGTTATGGTCTTCATGAAGCGTGCAGCAGGAGCATCCTGGTTTATCAGCTCTTCAAAGAACTCCTGCAGGAGAGAAATCAGAATGTAAGTTTGAAGTGAGACTCAGCCTGCAGGTTTATGTAGCTGTTTACAAATGCACATCTTACCCACGTCAGTGAATTCCTGCATGCGCTTTCCCATGATGTGATGTATGTAGGGCAGAAGAATTCTTCAAGAACAACGTAGGCAGACTCTGGATCCATTGCAAAGTTAAACTCTGCACATAGAGTCACATTCCCCTTCCCTGCAAAGACAAACGCAAGTCATTCAAGCTCATACATCTCAAATACAAGCACCTGTAACCATGTGGTGGTGTTACCTTCCACGTTTCCTCCCATTATGTACAAATCTCTGAGCTTCTGGGGAAAACAAGGATCCAGTCTGACAGCCAGGGCCAGGTTAGTGAGCGGGCCGAGGGCCACCAAGGACACCTACACAGAGCACGTTTTAGCAGCTTTTAGTAAAACAGCAGAGAGCAGCCGCACGTCACAGACAGACCACAGGGAGGCGCCTCACCTGGTTCTGGTTTTCAGACACCAGTCTGATCATTGCATTGACTGCGTGCTCTCTCTGGATTTTCTTCTCCCACAGCGGATCTTTGTCCTTCAGCACATCCCCAAGTCCATCAGTTCCAAAGTGGTCACTGACTGCGTTGCTGGCTCCAACCAGAGGACCAGCAGAACCTCGAAACACCGGAATCTGCAAGAAAACTCTTTAGTTTACAGACATGTAGCCAAGTGTACACTTGTCATATTATGGGCTCTGCATGCAGAGTACTAAAGTTAAATGTACGACTTTTTAAAGATGCCCTCCAGTAAAAATCATTGTTTTTTTATCTTGTTAATATTTTTGTGTGGTGTTTTTATAGACTAGAAGGCATGTCATCAGCTAAATAAGCAGTCAACACCATGACTGAAGAATTAATCAGAAATGACCACATAATGGTCCTGTGCAATATGTGATTGGAAAAAATACAGGAAAAAGTTGGAGAGCCAGCTCCAGCAGAACAACGTGAGGGATGTGTGGAATGGAATGAAGACTATCACTGGCTTCAAGTTGAAGGGGGATCAGACTGATGGAGGTCTGGACAGCTAACGAACTGAACATGTTCTTCAATAGGTTCAGTTCCCCCCCTGCCTCCAACCCAACACACCACACACCCTCCATGAGCCCACAGCTTTCCTGTCCCACCTCCACTCTGCAACCCTGCAGCTCAGTCATGGACCTGAACACAGCCTCATCTCCCTCCACACCAGGACATCCTGAGACTTCCTCTGCCTCCACCTCCAGCCTGACTGTCTCCTGCGACCAGGTCAAGAAACAGCTGGAGAAACTGAACCGGAGCAAGGCTGCAGGTCCAGATGGTATCAGTCCCAGAGTTCTCAAGACCTGCTCAGAACAACTATGTTCAGTTCTTCAGCACCTTTTTAACACCAGCCTGAGACAGAACAGAGTTCCAGTGCTGTGGAAAACATTCTGTCTTGTTCCAGTGCCTAGAAAACCACAACCAGCTGAACCCAATGACTACAGACCAGTTGCCTTGACATCTCACATCATGAAAGTCCTGGAGAGACTCTTGCTGGCTCACCTCAACAAGTGGGTCAACACCTTTCAGGACCCATTGCAGTTCGCATATCGTAATGGGCTTGGGGTTGAAGACGCCATCATCTACCTGCTTCAGACAGCCCACTCTCATCTGGACCAGTCAGGCAGCACTTTGAGGGTCATGTTCTTTGATTTCTCAAGTGCCTTCAATACTATTCAGCCTGCTTTACTATGTGAGAAGCTCCATAACTTCCAGGTGGATCCTTCCACAACCACTTGGATTTATGACTACCTAACAAACAGACCACAGTTTGTAAGACTGAAAGGTTGTGTGTCTGAGATGGTAGTCAGCAGCACTGGAGCACCACAAGGAACTGTACTCTCACCATTCCTCTTCACACTGTACACCTCAGACTTCCAGTACAACTCTGAGTCCTGTCATCTGCAGAAATACTCTGATGACTCTGCAGCTGTGGGGTGTATCAGTGATGGACAAGAAGCTGAGTACAGGGAACTGGTCAGTCAGTTTGTGAAATGGTGTGGAAACAATCACCTCATCTTAAATACCAGCAAGACTAAAGAGATGATTGTTGACTTCAGGAGGAGCAAGAATAAGCAGCATAGTCCTGTCTACATCCTGGGAGAGGAGGTGGAGGTGGTGGAGAATTACAAATATCTTGGAGTTCAGCTGGACAACAGACTAGACTGGAAATGCAACACTGACTACATCTACAAGAAAGGTCAGAGCAGACTCTACTTCTTAAGGAAGCTGAGATCATTCAGTGTCTGCACCAAGATGTTGCAGATCTTCTATAAGTCTGTTGTGGAAAGTGCAATCAGCTTTGCAGCCATCTGCTGGGGCAGTAGCATCAGAACCAGAGACTTAAAGAAACTAAACAAGCTGATCAGGAAAGCTGGTTCTGTGCTGGGGATAACTCTGGAACCACTGGAGCTGATTGTTCAAAAAAGAATGCTGCACAAGATGATGAAGATGATGGAGGATTCTTCCCACCTCTCCACAACACAGTGAAGAAACAACAGAGTGTGTTTAGTGGGAGGCTGCGTCAGCTTCACTGTCGAACGGAGAGATACAGGAATTCCTTCCTGCCAACAGCCATCACTTTAAAAAACAAATTTGACTGACTGAATGATTGTTGTTGTTGTATATAATATATGTTATATTGATTTAAAAAAAAAAAAAAAAAGTGAGCTTTTACAAGATTGAATTTCCCTTCTGGGATAAATAAAGTATTTTTCATTCATTTCATTTCATTACAGGAGCTGATAAAGGTCAAATGTGTCATAACATACCATTGTAAAATGAAGAATTGTAGTGCTACAAAACATATCGTCTAGATACAACAGAATATGTTGGTTTGGTACAGAGTGGAGCTAAAATCACATCATCAATTTGATTTTTTTTTCAGTTGGCAAGAAATGTGAAAACTCTCATTCCCACTAAGACTGGGACCCATCGTTGTTCTTCTTGTGTATCATTCAGCCATAAATGCAGTCTAACAGCATCTTATTAAAGAAGAACTAACATCATTAGGTTGACCACTGGTGAGGGACAGGATGGGGGTTTTTCTGCTCTGTTTAATAAGAAATGTCTAAAATCCCAAATACAATCAGTTTTAGTAGCAACACTCATGACTTACTAGGCCTCACACTACATGCATCCAGATACAAATTTTCACTTTTTGTCTCAATAAATAAAGCAAGACAATGTGCTGGTATAAACAGAGGAATGAAAACATTAAATGTCTGGCCATCACACACGGGAGGACATTTAAAAGAATATCTAATAACACAGAACACAACCATCTGATTCATATATGTATATCTCATTCGCCCTTTGTTATCATCATGTTTCATTGTTTTTTTATTTATTATATGTTTTTTTTCTTCTTTTTCTTCTGTGTTTGCAAACGTCAATCCTCCAAAATCCACCTTTACAATAATACATTTGATCAGGTGCAAGACTGATTGTCAGTGAACTCACCCCCTCACGATCACAGACAGAGAGCACCTTCAACACGTTCTGACAAACGTTCTCCACAGCTGCGTTCCCAAACACGCAGGTGATGCCCAGAATCTCCACGTCAGGCGCTGCCAAGGCCATCATGATGGCCTGAGCATCATCGATGCCGCAGTCCGTGTCGATGATCAGCTTCTTTGCCATCGTTTTCTAAAAAACACAAATTCACAAAATAGGTCACAATCAAAATAATCCATTAAGTCGACAGTGTTAGCACGAACTCCACACAGCTTGACCAAAATGTAGCCTTCTTTTTTTATATGGTGAGCGGTCACAGAGTGGGAGGTCTCAGCAGCCATATTTAGAGTAATAAAGATGCAGCTATTTCCTGCAGAGTTTCCAGCAACAGCTGTCTGTTCTACCTGTCAGGTACTTCGTCTCACCACCACAACTGCACCAGCTGGCAGCGTTTCTTTTATATGTTCAGGGATTTCTGTCGTTTGTATCCGTGTGAGCTGAGAGAAACCAGTGCATCACTGGTGTCGACCTTTCAGTCAAAGATTAAATAGCAGTTTGATATTACTCACCCTGACATGTGTGGCCTGGCATGGTCTATGACGTGGGTAAGGTTTTGTTTAATCATTGGGGGGGGGGACATCTCAAGCTTGGTTTCATTTAAAAATTAAAAATAAAAAAAATACAACAAAAAAAAAAACCCCTGCTGAGATAAGCAGATTCTCCTTGTTTCTTTAAATGCATTTAGGCCAATATTTTAGTTGAATTTCCTCAGATGAAGTACAGTCTACAACAGAGGTGAGAGTACCACTGTGTGATATCAATTAAATGTGATACAATGATTGCTAAATTGTATCACCATACAGTCATTGCATTGTTTCTGAGTCGAACAGTAGAGCATTTATTTATTGAATATTGAAAATACAGGCCCAGAGGTAGACACTCAGCGCAATAAAAGTGAATATAACTGTCATCTGTGACACACAAGTTAAAAAATCTGTTTTAACTGAAACCCCTGCCTCTCTTTTGAAACCCACATCAACTCTCTGCTCACTAAAGTCAAAAAAAGAATTGGTTTTCTGTATCGTAATAAATCCTCATTTACACACTCTGCTAAACACCTCCTGGTCAAAATGACAGTACTTCCGATTTTTGACTACGGTGACATACTTTATAGATCCACATCCAAATCCCTCCTCCATAAACTGGACACTATCTACCACACTGCCATCCATTTTGTGACTGGTGCCCCCTTCACGACTCACCACTGCACTCTGTACAGCCTAGTTAACTGGCCCTCTCTTCACTCCCGCAGGCAAACCCATTGGTATTTGTTCATTTATAAAACTATCATAGGTCAAACTCCGGCATACCTACTTTCACTACTCATCACCCGTCACATCAGCCGCTCACTTCACAACAGCAACCTCATCCACCTCCTCATCCCCAAAGCCCGCACTGTCTTTGGCTGCTATTTATTTCAGTTTTCTGCAGCCCTCGACCGGAACCACTTACAAAAAACACTCAAACTTAAAAATATGGTGAAGGCACTACTTACTGAGTCCTATACCTGCTTTTAGTGTATTTTATCTTCAAAGCCTTTTATTGTTACGTTTTGTTTGTGTATTGTTTTTTATGGATGTATTGTATTTTCTGCTCTGTGCTGCCTCTTGGCCAGGTCGTTGTTGTAAATGAGAATCTGTTCTCAATTAACCTACCTGGCTAAATAAAGGAAAAATAAACAAAAAATTAAACTGAGTACACTACTGATTCTACTGATTACTGACAATGTTCATACAACTACAACATGGTACTACTGACCTGTTTCTAATTACTACTGTGGTTCCACCTGAATGCTATCCACTCTGTAATGCCTTGAAGGTTCAAATCATGCTTAAAATACAAGTAAAATAACTCAAAGGGTTAATTCACCCAAAATACAAAAGACATAACATGATTGTAAAGCATCCTTTGAGCACTATAACCTTCTCTGTTTTGAACCTATGGGTTGTGTTATTCAGCATGTCTGCATCATGGCTCAACATTAAAAGAATTACCAGAGGAGTTTAAAAATATGACTGTGAGACTTGACAGTGATGCAAAAGGATACAGAAATCTTGGTGAGCACCTAAAAGCAGTAATCAGGAAAGTTTAGGACAGGGGTGTCCAATCCTGGTCCTTGGGGGCCACAATCCAGCATGTTTTAGAAGTTTCCCTCTTCCAACACACCTGATGCAAATGATCAGCTCATTATCAAGCTCTGCAGAAGCCTGATAACGATCCTGATTATTTGAATCAGGTGTGTTGGAAGAGAGAAACATCTAAAATATGTAGGATTGTGGCCCTCGTGGACCAGGATTGGACACCCCTGGTTTCGGACAAGTCACAGTACCACTAATCAGACCTGTATTTGCCATTCTTCTTAAATGATGCCTCAGACAGACCATCTACCTCTGAAAAATAGACGGGCAGGTGCTTCAGACCTAAAAACAAGCCTAATGAATGTTGGGAGCACATTCTTCGGTCAAATGAGGCCAAAATAATATGTTTTCAGCTCAGATGGGATCCAGCCCATTTGTGGCCAGGACTACCACAGCAAATGCATAGTCCCAGCAGTGAAGCACAGAGGTGGGAGTGTCATGACATGTGGCTGAGAGCAAAAAGTGTTGAGGAGATGATATTTATAGTTGGCACCATGAATGCCTGTGCATATGCCAAGATATAGGCTTGAAGGTGATTCCCAGTCTGCAGAAGCTTATCAGCAGATACACACTGCCGAAATCACACGAGAGTTTTAAAAGAGGAAACTGTGATCCAGGTGAAGTATGTTGACTCACTTGAATCTAAAAGAACACATTTGGGGTTTGCATAGGAAATACTCTACTGTTTATCTTAGAAGTAATAAAATGACCATAAGGTGACACAATTTTGAATGAATTGACATTTAAGCAGTATTTCACATTAAACTATACATGTTGCATGAGCTTCTCTGATATTAGCTTTTAATGCGAAGTCAAGTCTGAACAAACCAGTTATGCACCAGCATCTAAGAAATTATCACTTCATGGTCAAATGTGACAAATAGTCTTTTTAACTTTTTGTTTATTATAAAGCTGTTAGAAGCGTAACTGTTAATCTTTTAAGGATAAAAGTAAGCTCTCCAGTGAACGAGCAGACTCACCTTCCGTGTCTCAAGTAAAGTTTAAAGCTCCTCCGCAGGCGCTGCTGTGATTGGTCCACATTGGGGGAGCGTCTCAACGTTTCCCGGCACGAGTGGGAGAGGCTAAGCAAATAATGTGTAAATTTAATGTAATTTCTATACAGTGCAGTGAAAACACGCGTTCAAGTGCGCGAAATAACGAGTGTACTGGACTTTGTTGTACATTTGAGTATTTCTATGCTATAGTTTTCTTTAGTTATTTTTTTGTTTGCGTTAATTCCCCCCGCTTGCTGCTCAGAGTGGTGCAATCCGGCAGCTCTGCACAGGAAGACGATACGGGTCAGCAGGACGACGCTTCTGGATTATTAACGTTTATTTTTCTTTACAAATGTCTGAAGCTAGTGAGCGTTCAGTTTTAGCTATGTGCGGTTAGTTGGACGTTTTTTCCCCCCAGTTTTCAGGCCAGTGTGCTGCTGAGACACCGCTGAAACTGCGATGAGAAAAACAGCGGCTGGGCGTGTTTACACCTGCTAACAACACACAGCTCGGATGTAGCGGTGTTCACCTCGACTGCGGCTTCTTCACAGGTGAAATGTTCAGTTAATGTTCAATATCCGCGCAGCTAACAGCAGCCAGGCTGTTTGTACAATAGGTTACTTATTGTCGGTCAAAGGTAGTGTTGAATAAAGCTCTTTGTTGTCGCTGGGAGTTAAAACAATGACACTCAGGGTCACGGGCGTAGATTTAGTTTGAATGTTGGGGGACACATTAAGCAGGAGGTGTGGGCGTCCTCCAGGTTATGTTCAACATCAACCTCCTCATTTCCTGCATGCTGGGGAATTTTTATGCACCCATTTTCTCATTTTCTGCACCAATTTATTGTGAAAATGTCTTTATATGAAACAAAAGGCAAAATGCAGGCACCACTGAGCAAGAATATGAAAGCAGCATGCCAATGGTCTTAGAGAAAAGTAAAAAATCTAGTTTCTATAACAAGTTGTTGACTGTTAATCTACACCTTAGTTAGGCTTTGCTTTAATAACGGACAATGATAGACCAGATGGCCAGTATACAGACACTGACCAGTGACTAGAACAGGTAGGGCTGAACTATTTGAGCAAAATATATCACCAATATATTTACTTGTCTATGATACTTTTTAAAAAAATTTAAGTTCAGCATTGACTGTGTAATAGATTTACAACATGTTTTGGAGCATTACCACATGAGACATCATCAAAAGCATCACATAAAGAGGATGGCTTTCATTTGTAAAGCCACTGAGACAACAGTTTAAATCCTGGGTGGAGTAAAAACAGCGTTGTGACTGTTCAGTAATGAGACATGAACTATGTAGGCTGAGCCACAGTGTGCAGCCTGAACCTTGTAGGATACATCCAGTAATGGACATGACAAAAACCCTGAAAATCTGCTTAAATGAAATGAAATTGATTTATTTAACAGCCACACCTTTTATATTCTAAATTGCAGCCGTTCTGATTTGCTGCTTGCATTGTTTTAGTTTGTTCAGCCCTAATAAAAGACAACCTGAAAATACAGCTTTATTCAAATGACACGATGAATGTCCACAATTCCACCATTTGTCATCTAAGAAATCATTTCAGACAGCATCATGTGACAGACAATCTGCCAAATGATGCTCTGGATAGATATGTCCAACAATGGGAATGTGTCTTCCAAAATGTCCACCAACTTCACTAAACTCTTCAGGAAGGTTTCTTCTCAGCAGATTTCTGCTCATGTTCAAAACTCTGCATATTGATAATATATTTGAGACATATCCGGCTTAATATGCTGAAGAATAAAGACTTGCCCCTGTCAGATGCATTGTTGCATCTACAAGTAAACATTATAGCGGTATATGGCCGCATGCTATTGGAAACAACTGACATCGCTAAAAATGTAGGATTTCTCAGCAGATAACTTTAAAAACTATTTGTGGTGCCTTTGTGGTGCTGATTTAAATGGTCAAACAAATAAGTCATATTGTCTCATGTGGTGTCAACAACTGGAAGATACTGCGACCAAGCTTTTGTTTTTGGGCAACATCAGCCTTATTTGTAGTTAAAATATTTCCTTACAACCAAATCTTACATTTTAAATCAGAGTACATTATATCAGATGGACTTATATTGTAGATAAGGGGGCTGGAGCCTATATCTAATTTTAATATAAATAAAATTTGCACATACCAGTCGTCATTCTGCTGAGATCCTGTTCCTTACGGCAATTTGTTGTGGAAAGAGGTTGATGTAGGATGAGGAACCCGACACAAAGAAACAGACCGGAGACTCAGATGACTTAGGTTGAAATTTACTTTATTTGAAGTTTACAGATGCATCAGGAGAAGTGACACTAACAGAACAGCAGTTCATGCATCAATTCTAGCATCAATTCTAAGAATTTCTGCACACCTTTGGTCTTATAACCTCCTTCAGTGGGGGCCACATCCAGATTTATGGGTGAGAGGGAAACAAAGATAGTTCGGCACCTTGGTGTAATTTGGCCTTGAGAGGTACAGGGAGTGTTTGCCTGTCCTCCTACAATAGATCTACATGAGGTCAAGAATCTATAGATTTGCAGAGTGCACATCTACCACAAATACTACTTTTACATAAAGAAGTCAATCAGATGAGCTAAGGGGAAAAGTTCAATACCATCTCTAGAAACTTAACTCCAAAAGAGGAAAGTAATTTTTCATTCACATGGGGGACAAATGCTTGTATTCTAAATTTTTCCGGGGGACGAATCCTCTGTTCCCCCCTAAAATTTACTACTGTGCTCAGCATTATGACTTTGAAAACTGTTGTACAAGGATGGTTTCAGCTGTTCCAAGTTCACAGTGTGAGGTCTGTATCACTGCACCTCCATCTTTCCTTCCCTTCTCTGCAGAGATTCTAAAAATGTCCGTCCTTTCATCCCCAGAAGAGACAGCCACCTCTTCATCATCACGCTCAGCCTTAGCCTGTTCTGTCGTCCATCATATTAGTGGCTGTCCGATGCCGAACACATCAGAAGGCCAAGGAGCAAACCTGTCTGGGCCAACGGAGCCGTCGGGGCTTCAGAGGCCCACAGACAGGGAGGAGGAGCACAGTCTGATCAGCTCTCTCGCCCGGGATGCCGTCAGGGTGAGGCGGGCTTCGAGCGCTGAGCTCCACCTGCCCTGGACCTGCCCGGTCACTCACTCCAGAGAGAAGTTCTACACCGTCTGCTCCGATTATGCCCTCCTCAATCAGGCTGCGTCCATGTATCATCCACCAGCCAGAGACGTGGTCCAGCGCAAACAGGACGACGGGCCGCTGCTGGTGAAGCCCAAACCTTCAGTGGACTTCAGCTCTGGTCAGACTGGAGGAACTCATGTGGGATCAGATGGACACTGTGACATGGAGGAAGTGTCCTTTGAAAACACCAAGCCTATTTTAGCCTGGGAGATTGATACAGCAGACTTTAATGCTGTGCTTACCAGAAAAATAAGAACAAGTGAGGAAAATATTACTCTTGACGTCTATCATGTTCATTCATACACTTGTCAGAGTTCAGTTAGCTGATTGGTTGTTAATATAATCAGTTTTGATCCTTTCAACAGCTTAAATTCTGTACTTGATGGACTCTGTCTTTCAGGCAACGGAAAGAAATGCAGCAGCAAGAAGATGAAGTCGTCAGAGAGACCCAGCAGGAATCTGCAAGACGTCCCTCCTCATGCCTCGCTGGAGGAGATCAAACAGAGAAAAGTGCTGGACCTCAGAAGATGGTAATGTTATATTTAGCATCTCAGCTGTTTTAAAGAGAAACGCAGTGAACTGAGCTTCACATCAGACTGCAATCACCAGACCTTCATCAGGATAGAAATAGTACGAAGAGACATAAGACATTTAAAATCCAATAGATTTCCCTCTGAAGCTGGTTTTTAGATGTTCACTCCTTCTAGTGGACTGTTCAACACGGTATAAGAGACTAGCATTGCATCAAAATAAATGCAGGGTAAACATACAGATGTGAGCCTTTAAAACATTGTTTTAAAAGATAATTCAGGTTCATTTCACCTTGTCATTCTTCCTTTTATTTTGTTGTTGTGGCTCTGAAGGTCATGCTACCAACCTCTGTAGTACAGATTCAGGGAAACGAGGAGACAAAACATTGTCTTTTGCATGAGCAGCTTTCCAGAGAAAAATATTCTTATGTGAATCATCTCAAACTTTTTTGTTTTCAGTCTAAATGAAGGTAAACAGAAGTGAGTCTCCTGAAATGGCCCTGTTGCCTGTGACTACAGAATATAGAGATCACTTCATAATAATGTGTAGGAAATGAAACAGCGAGTTTGTGAAATCAAAGTCTTACGTTGAAAACAGAATGAGCATGTTTTCATCTTGTGGCCAACCAGTTTGATATGAATCTATTAGAAGAAGTTTACATAATGGCTGACTCACAGGCCTGTCAATCATGGAGCTCACTCTTTTTTTTCCTCAAATAATAATGGGCAACTTTTGGTAGTCAAAATGTGTTGCCTCCCTCCTCTGTGTCTCATCTTCTCTGAGATTTAGCTTGTTTGTAAGCTCTGGTTCCGAAGAATACAGCTCACCATCAAACCGAAAAGAAAGAAGAAACAAAGTGGTAATAACTGTACGAATGTAATGCGTTTAACTGTTTAGTTTCCTGAGTCACCATCAAACATGTAAACAAACCAGTATGCCCAGATATATATATATATATATATAACAAAATGTCCTTTCTGACATTTAAGTTCTGTTTACTTTCAGTGAGACTGACGACAAACATTACGCATGAAGTCATTATTGCATTGATACGTTTATATCGAGCATATGTTTGTATGTTTCATTGTATAGATATTAACCCTGCAGTGATATGCTGATAAAATGTCACAAATTCATCCATCACAAAGTAATACTGTTAGGCAGGCTCTGGCAAAGTTATGTATTTACTCCTTTTTTCACCAGTTTCCTGGTTTTCCACATCTGCAGGGAGGCTACAGTATGTTAACACTTCAGTGAATAAACTAACATTCTAAAATAAGAGTTATTTTCATTAGGGGCTAAACTGTTCCTTATATTACAGTCTCCTACACAGTTCTAAAAAGATCTTTGTACTGTGTGAATTTCATGCTGAGATACGTAACATACAAAACAATTTCATTTTTTCAGTTCCTATAAAGACAAACCGTAAACAAAATCTGCCAGTATTATCAAGTCAAATGGTGGAACATTTAAAGAGACTAAACTTTTCTGATTAAAAAAAACAAGATATAGCATGTATAGCTGAGACTTATAATAAAATGAGGTTGGAGATTAAAAGTAAAGGCAGTAAAGTCACCCTGACAAAAGCCGAGGACCCTTAGAGATAATGGAGAATACAGCAGGTTAAAATAAAGAAGGATTGTCATTGAAGTCTTTTAAAGGCAGGACAGACTGACAGAAACACCCTGAATAACATAAATGATGATGAAAATCTGGTGAAGCTGAAACGTGTCCAGCCAACATCCGACTCTCTTCTCTGACATGATAATTATTCTGTGGGTTTTGATTATTGTCCGTCCAGGTACTGCATCAGTCGGCCGCAGTACAAGACTTCATGTGGAATCTCCTCCTTGGTGTCCTGCTGGAACTTCTTATACAGCACTCTGGGAGCAGGGAGGTGAGCAGCATGTTGTCCTCCATCAGATTACATGTAGAAATACAGCTTAAGATGGACGCTAAAGGTTTTTTCTTACAAAGTAAATATGATACATAAATATGTGTTTGTGCTGCCAGTCTTCCACCCATCTCTCAGGAGGAGGCTCTGCACATTCTAGGGTTTCAGCCGCCTTTTGAAGAAATCAAGTTCGGTCCCTTCACCGGCAACGCTACACTGATGCGGTACCCAAACTGCTTCTTCAGCCCTTTGAAATCTAAGTAGAGGAAATTTATGCAGCTCTGTAATCGGTGTACATTTTCTTACAGGTGGTTCAGACAAATCAACGACAATTTCAGAGTGCGAGGTTGTTCCTATATTCTGTACAAACCGCACGGAAAACACAAAACGGCAGGAGAAACAGGTAAGTCGCTCGGCTGTCACCACCAACTGCATGTCTGCTCATAAAGAGATACAACAAAAGGAATGACCTCCTCGTTCTTCTTAGCTGAAGGGGCGCTGATGAAACTGACACAGGGGCTGAAGGATGAGACCATGGCCTACATTTATCACTGTCAGAACCACTACTTCTGCCCAGTCGGCTTCGAAGCTACGCCGCTTAAAGCAGCGAAGGCGTACAGGTAGATCACAGCCCTGCATGTAGAGGCCATCATTATATTTTGCTGATTATCTCCTTAGGATCTTGTTTACTCAACGAAATGTCAGAAATAACTGACAAAATGCTTCCAGCTTGTAAATAAAATGTTCTTTATATCAGGCAATGAATGATGTATGAACAAACCCTTCTGTGAGAACCTTCAGAACATACTTAAGAATAAAACTGAAAAGTCTGGTTAATGAAGATGCTACAAAAGTGGAGATTTCAGGAGAAATGGACAAGAAAAAATAAATAATTTCAAGAAAACAACCTTTAAAGATACAGTTGAAACCAGAAGTTTACATACACCATATAAAAAGACATAAGACCTTTTTTTCTCAGGACTGTCTGACATTAATTGTAACAAATCTTTTCCTGTTTTAGGTTACTTAGAATTACCAAAATTATTTCTGTTTGCTACATGCCACAATAATTAGAGAGAGAATTTTTTATAACTTTCTTCAAAGTCATAATCAAAGTTCAGAGTTCTTCAAAGTTATAATGTCTATCTACAGATGTAAATACACAAATTGTAGTAAAATAAACATCTACATGTGTACTTTAAATGCTTTCTTTCCACTACTTTGAAAGAAGACATGTTATGGAGGTAAAATATATCAAAATGTCAAAGCTGGCCGATACTTTAAAAAGACGGAATGTAGTCTCTTGTCTCAAATAGGTTTAAATCAGTTGATTTGTCTGTTTATTGATGACTCGATTGATCGAATACTTTTTGTTGTATTTTTGTTTGAAGGGGTCCTCTACCCACCAATGAAATGGAGTACTGGATCTTAATAGGTGAACCCAGTAGAAAACATCCGGCTATTCACTGCAAAAAGTAAGTCTGTGTTCAGCTTTTGCTCCATTTGACTGTCTGCTGTTGTTGAGCTGCTGATCTGTCTTCAGCCTACACGTGTAAAACGTCTGTTTGAAACTGTCTCGTAGCACCAATTCCTCACTGAGCGTAGACGAACCCCACATTTATCAACACCTCACACTCTGAACGGCATCAGTGCAACATTTTTGGCAGGAAAATATTAATACTGTAAGATGCACCACCTTCACATTTCACAGCTTTCTCCCACTGAACCCCTGAGTCACTCATTTGGATCAGTTTCAACATTTTTCCAATTAGATGTTTACTTTAATTGGTTTGTTAATTCTGAATGTTTATGGATACAAAACTTTAATACTAATAAAAGGATGTTGAACGTGATTGAGAGTTGTTTTTATATTGTTGCAAAAATGCAAACTAATGGTTTAAATAAGCATCACTTTATTCACACAAAGGCTCCGTCACTGAGTCCAGAGTGAATTCATCAGTTGTGCCACCTCTAGTGATTGGCAGTTATGGGAGTGAAAGCAAAGGTTAATCTTATGTTCACGAGTCACTTTATTGTGAATCAATCTTCTACATTTTTAATTTTATTCTTGTGTCATTGAAAAGGTGATAATTCTACGTTATGTTTATTGCTTAGGTTGAAGTGGACATTTTTGCATGTTTTTGTTTACAATTTTAAATAGCTTAATTGCTTTTTATTCTGAAGTATCAGTTTATATCAATAAAATTCATTTTTAAGATGAATGTGTTGACATTATTGTGTCATTAACGGCTAATAATATATAGACTTTGTTGAAATAAAGGGGTGATATTATTAAGCTCTTGGAAAAATTTTGTAATAAACCAAAAATTAAAGGAAAAAGCCCAATTTTCTTGGTCATCTGACAGTTGCTACCAATAGTTTAAACAGAGAAAAAAAGATGTGCATCGGTCAAACCAATGTTTGGGTTTTAGAGGTTTAACAGGACCTTCTCTCTGCAGATGGCTGGACGTTGTGACTGACCTCAACACACAAAACCCAGAGTATCTGGACATTCGCCACACAGAGAGGGGCATTCAGCGCCGCAAAACCAAAAAGGTTCCCACTCTGACGCCTGTTATTTTAAACCTTTCTCTTCATGTAGCTGTATCTGGGACTGTGTGTGACTAAAAGTCGCTCTCTGGCTCGCAGGTGGGCGGCAACCTTCACTGCATCATGGCCTTCCAGAGGGTGAACTGGCAGAAACTCGGTCCCTGGGCCTTAAACCTGGAGAACCTGCGACACGACTTCCACCACTCGGGTACAGAGCGAGCTCACGGGAGTGTCGCCGAGGACGCTGAAGAGAGAGCGTCATCCAAGCGACTTGCCCACCTGGGACGCTCGCACAGCATGGGGAGTCAGAAAGACAGCAGCTGGAAACGCCTGTCCAACACGACCGAGTACAGACAGAGGAGCTCGCCTGACAGCGACCTCGAGGAAGACATCACAGACTGAAAGGTTCATGGGGACGTACAGGGGAGGATGAAATTACAATAAAGGACAGAGCAGATGCGTTTTAAAGGACAAGTCTGGTGTTTTTCTGTAGCTGTCAGTCAACAAATGCCGTGAAAACACCAAAAACAACCATTTCTTAGAGAAAACATTCTTTAAATCTTTAAAAACAAGGTCTCATTTTTGTAAAAGGTTAAATCATTTCTTAAATCTGTTTAAGAGTTTTTAGTAAAGGTTATTCTGACAGGAGGAAATAGAACATTTGTTAAGATGGTTTTCAGCAGCAGATTTCTACACATCTGAGGCTTTTGAGGGTTTTAACAGCAGCCGGATGGTGCACAGTGCTTCTGTTCATTATAATCAATGAACAGTCAGTGTGACCGTGTGGATCACTGGTGTGTTGCAGTTTTTGGACGACAGTGCAGCATTGTGGCACACAGGAATTAATTATGTCAGGCTTTTGATGCTCACACACAACTTGCTATTCCGACTAGTTCAGTGTTGTTTTTGGTTGTTTGATAGATTTGTTGACAGTACAAAAATATTAGAGCATGACCAGACTTCTCCTGAGTATTTTTAAGACTGTCACAGGTTGATTCCACTCATTTTTGAGGCCGTTTTAGTTCTGCAGCTTTAAAGCAATTATTCTATTCAGTGTTTCTCCGTCAGTGTTGCTGAGCATCTGTCTGCTGTGTTTTCTTTTCACACTGTACTTTCCCTCAGCAGCAAACGATGCACTGAAAACTGCTTTACACCATCACTAAGGCAGCTACACCACTGAGCCACATTCAGTTAGTAAACCTTGTAGCAGTGTGTGCAGCTATAAAGCAGACTTTCACTATTTTCCAAGTCAACATTGCAACAGGTTTTAGCCACGTTTCCACTGAAAGTCGTCCAGAATGTTTCGAGGAATAAGGAGGTTTGTTCAGCTCTGTGATATCTGTGTCTCCACCAGAGTCTAAAGTGGTGAATCAGTCAGCTGACATCAAAATGTGCCTTTTTTGACATGAAAAAATGACGATAGTAACAAAACTCTAAAGTAGTCTTTCTCATTGCAGCCCAAAAGCTCAAATTCCTCCTAAATATCTTCCCCTTTCCTCTGCAGCTCTGTGTTGTGTTGAAGAACAAAAACAAAATTAATTCATTTGCAGCTGCAGGTTTTAAAAAATGTTGTGCTCGTACAGTCAAAACATTTATCTACAGAAATCCCCAAAAGGAACTGAAAGTTACTGAACTTATGGAAAATACTCCCCACGTGACCAGGGAACACTCTTAATGGAAGATCTAGACTTGGGCTGATCCATAATGCAATTTGAAATAATGAAACTAGGAAGTCACAAAGGTTGCACTGTCATGTCATGTATCCGCCCCATCGTTTAAACGGTTGTTTCAGTGGTTTCATGCCGTCCTCCTTACATGACATTCGCACTTCAAATGTGGTAATGCTCTGTCACATTTTAAAGCTATTGCACAGTGAACTGAAGCTTGATTTTGAAAAATATATTGCTTATCAGGTCACAATATTCTTTAGAAAAATCTCAATTAGATGTATTCCCCCCAAGTCATTTAGCCCTCCTTCTGGTGGAAACACAGGTAGAGGAGCTGAGTTCCTCATCAGGTTCTTTAATTTGCTGTAATCGTTCCTCCTTTTCACACCAGAACTGCAGAGATCCGTTGAAAAATTTGTTTAAGTGATGGGAAAGAAAATCCACAGACCTCATTATGTGTGAAAATACAGAGTTTATGTGAAGAAAACGTGAGGTTTAAGCAGTCCGAGATTTGAGGATATCTTTAAAAGTTTTTTTTTTTTTTTTTTTAGAGCTGCAACCAAAAAATATTCTCACCGTTGAATAATTGAATAGCTATAAAATGTCAGAAAATATTGAAAAACATTTATTAGTGCTCCTTAAAGCCAAAGATGACATCCTCAAATTTGCCACTACCTAAAAATATTCCATTTACCGTCATAAAAGGGGCAAGAAACCTGAAAACAATCACATAAGAAGCTGGAATCAGAGAAGTTTGATTTTATTTCTCTTGAGAAAACACTTCAATGAATCAATTATTTTTAAAAAATGGTGTTTCATTTAATAGTTGACAACAAATAGATTAATCATATCTTTTTTGTATAAAATTCACTCTTTTTGTTCATATCACCTCTTAACAAAGTATGCTATGTGGCTTGGAAAAAAAATCTCCTAAAAACATGTAGCAAGCACAATGAATCCAGACAAAGCTGCTAAGTGGTCTTAACAGGGCATTTTCTGAACAGGGCATCAAAACACGGCCTCAAACTCTGAGTTGCATCAAAACTCATTACAGTTTTAAAAACCGAATCAAAGCGCTTCTGTTAGTTAACCCAGTCCTGTATGTGAACCAAGAGGAAGACAAGTGTTGGTACATTTCATTCCCTTCTACCACAGATCACACAGACATTCCTCTGACTTTTATTACAGTTCCGTCACATCGTCACAAAGTCACTGCAGTGATCCTGTAGAGTCGCATTATATTCAGGTAGAGCTGCGTAGAAACACAACAGCACACGCTCACTGCACACCAGTTCAGACACACATGGTTCATTGTACAGGTTCAGTCAGTGGGCGTTCTGTGGTTAGTTCAGTGGAAATGCCGTCCAGTCAAAGTGTCGTGAAAGCAGCTGACGTTTTGTTGTGCTTTGTGATGCATAGATGATCCCGTTTTTAAAAGAAACAAAGATGGGAGCTGTACAGAAGTGAAATTACTCAAAATGTGAACCACAGAAAGTGAAGACTGCATGGTTTATTTTCATGTTTATTTTCATGTTTATGTACAGATGTACGCTGTTCCTTTGTTCAACCCTTTGTGGTGCCATTTGTCTTTGACCCGACGCTGATGTGATTGTGTACTCAAGTGGGTTTGATGTAGTGGTTTATTTATCTATTTCTTTTACAATAAAATAAGATTTTTATATACTTTTGGAACAAATGTATTTATTTATAATAATCATTGATGAGTTATTCAGTCTTAAATCATTCTGCTCAACCTTCTCTAATTTGCTTGAAACATTGTTGTCATAAAATGTGGATATTTAAAATGGTATCTGTGAAATTTCAGCTTGATATATCAAATACTTTAGGAGAAGTAAGATAAAAAAACATCTTTTACAAACTGCTGGTTGACCCACTGTCTGTGTTTTTTGTTGTTTTTTTTTCACATTGAAATTTGAGGATATGTTTGAACAACTGGATCATAGTAACTAATTAAATATAAAACCCTGACATTTTTTATTGCTCCTTTAATTCAGAATCTGCAATGGTGTAGAAACAAGTACATCAAATGGTCTCTGATTATGGGTGAGTCAAAATGTACAAAAAAAAGTCCCATGTTTGAGCTCACATTAACAAAGAAATTGATAATGCAGAAGTCAACTTGTTATATTTTTTGAACAGTATGTAGTTACATGTTACAATAATACAAAGCAAACATATAGAATACTTTTGCACACGAAATAGTTCATTACAAAAATGACCCAAAAAAAATTATTTTCATTTAACTTTTATTTTTCAATTTCTGTCTCCACTTTGTACCATTTTGACATATTTCAACTAACCCATAATTAGAAACTATTTGATGCTTTTATCCAATATTGCAGATTCTGAATCAATGGCATCATGATAAATAACAGTAACTATTTCAGGCTTTTATTTTTTAATGGTTTGTGAAATATTGTCATTAAAGCACAGCCTCAAATTCCAGTTCACTGAAAGTGGGTTGATGGGCAATTTAAAAAAAAATAAAAAATAAATAAAATCCCAGAGAGTATTTAATATCTCAATCTAAAATGTAACAGACACCATTTTAAATATCCATAGCTAATGATAAAAGTTTCAAGCAAATCAGAGGTGGCCGAGCAGAAGGCCCCTGATGATTTGTGAAGGAATAACTGTATTATTATTATTTAGCCCAAATAAATGTAAAGGTTTCATTTAATCACAAAAACTGTCAGTTAAAAACACTAAATCAGACACAATGTGCAGTAAAAAGTGTATTTATTCCATCTTATTCATCTCTTCTCATTTACGTCACTTCTTCACACCTCATAATAAAAAACAAAACAAAACAAAACTGAACAATTAACGAATGAAGCAATTTTCTGACCCATTTTATTTCTTTGCATAAGTTTAAAGTCATCAGTGACTGTTCCTCTGTCCTGGTCTTAAAGAGAGTCGGGTTTTAAGAGGCTGGAGATGTGCAGCTTCCTTTTAACTTGGATCGAAGCTCCGCTACCTGAGCAGGACCAACACGGCAGCATCCTCCTGGTGGACACGGAGACAATTATCAGAAAAAATACTGTGAAACACGAGAAAAATGATTAAAAGAGAAATCAGCTGAACTCACCGATCAGAGCAGCTCCCTGCTTCACCCACGTGTCACTCAGCTCCGGCCTCCACGCTGATGTTTTTTCTGATGTTTTCCACCTTAGTATCAAAAAGTCACAGTTTTCGGTCAAAAGCAGGATGTCCTAAACACATTTTTCATTTATTTGTATTTTTTTGCTCTTGGTGTTTCAATTTTGAGAAATAGTCTCACGTGCTAGTTATTTTTATTACATTTTTCTTCCAGCACAATAGAGCTGCAGAGGGCTTCCTTTCACTAAAATAAGGTCAAATATGTCAAACAAGTCTGAAAGCAGATTATGACAACTTTACTTGAATAGTATTGTTTTACAGTTTGTTTTTGTAACCACCTTGAAATACATACTTCAGAATTTTAAATTTTAATTTTAAATGACCCACTAAAACACCACCGAAGATCAAATGTAGTTCGGAGAGGTGGAGCTGTGGAGGCCTTCAGGTGTCAAATCTGGTTCCATCTAAAAACTCACCACACATCCACATACAGCTTTAAAGCTGATCTATAGACACCAAAGTTACTTTAATACAATAATCCACTATTTAAAACATAGAAAATTTTGATTTAGGCAGCGTAACTACACAAAGTCACAGAAAACCTCACTCATGATGGCAGTCATTGCTACACTGCTAAGCTAGCTAGCATTAGCATTAGTCTAGCTAGTTTTTTTCTACTTCACAACTAAATTTAGCTACAGTCTTGAGTATTGTTTTTTTGAAAACTTAACTAATTTTACAAGATGTAGGTTTATGAAAACTGTATTTTTATATTTTATATATTACAGATAAGACTTAGGTAAACACCAGTATGTAAACTTGGTTGCAGCTTTTGTTTTTGCTAGCTATGGCTACATCAGCTTTACATTGAGGTTTCAAGGGATTTTTTTCTACTGTGGCATGTTTTTAGCGTGTGTTTATCTAATATTTACATTCTGTAGCTACTTAACAGCCTCCTTCTGTGCAGTCGTGTGCCCAAAGAAAAGCTGACATACCATTAGTCTGGTAAATTTAATTTATATAAAATAGAGTGGGGTCTTCACCTTAATATTTAGATTAGTCGGGCGCATTTATGCAATAAGTAATATTGTAGTGCCTGAACCTTTATATTTAAATTTGTTTGGTATACAGTTGTCTTCAAATGTATTCATACCCTCCATTAAAGAAGGGAAAAAAAACAGCTGTCACTGAAAGAAGCTGAAATCAACAAAAGTGATAATAAATAAAAATTTAATGAAAATCACGACATTGCTTTTGAATTGTGATTCAACAGAAATATATTTTTAAAAAAATATAAATAATCATGCATGATGGGACCCCTAAACTAATATTTTGTTGAACAACCCTTTGAGTCAATCACTGCAATCAAGTGTTTTCTGTAACTCTCAATCAGACTTCTGCACCTGTTGACAGGTATTCTGATTTTGGCCACCGCTCATCAGCAAAGTGCTCTTATTTGTCCAGGACAGGATTTTTTTCCCCCCCCAATTATTCTTTTCAACCACAATTCAAAAGCAATGTCTTATTTCGCTAAATTATAATTTAGAATTTTTTTTCTTTATTATTACTTTTTGCAGTTTCTACTTATTTGAGTGACTCTTGTGAATTTTGCCTTTTCTTTAATGGAAGGATAAATACATTTGAGGACAACTGTATGTGTAGCATCATTCTTTACTGGAAAGCACTTTGGCTTAATGTCTGTTGTTTTATGTGCTGCATAAATAATGGTGACTTGACAGTGTCTCCTGATAACAACACAGTTTGTGGCGACAGTCTCACCCCCGCTCAGTGTCCCACTCCTCCCCACTGTTGGGGTAAACCACCCAGCTGAGGTCTGGGCTCAGCAGTGTTCTGGCAGAGTCCAGCAGTGGCTCCACCACATCTGGTGAACAGCAGTTCACCCCCACAGCCAGCAACTGCGTGGATCTGCTGCTAACCTGCACGGCATCGGTGAACAGGCTGCCATCTGATATACACTTCCCATCCTGAAGGAGAGGGAGTGAAGGTGTGACTGCAGAACAATTAATGACAGACTGACTCTGGTTCTACTGCTTATCAGAGGCAGTTACCTTACAGGAGAAGGACAGCCAGGCTTTACAGTCTGGGAACTCTCTGAGCAGCTCCACCAACGCCTCCGCCTCTTTGATGCTTGGAATTGTCTCAAAAGCAATGAGATCAGCTCCTGCTGCTGCTAAGCTGTCGATCTGCGGCCGATGCCAGACTTTGAGCTCCTTGGAAGCAACAGAGACACAACATGGCCACAAAAGTCACAAAATTAATACAAAAGAACACAAAGCAACTAAAAAGAGAAACAAAATGGCCACAAAGTGGTGCAAAATGACCACAAAGAGACAAAAAAGGCTACAAATGGTAAGAAATTGGACCTAAAGAGACCCAAAATGGCTACATAGAAACACAAAGTGACTATAAAGTGATAAATGGCCAAAGAGAAGCCCAACATGAGTACAGAGACACAAAACACAGAGGGTAACAGAACGGACACAAAGAGAGACAAAATTACCACAAAGCAACAACAAAGGGACATAAAATAACTAGAAAGAGACACAAAGGGACTACAAATAGACAAATGGCAAAAAAGGGACATAACATTAGTTCAGGGACCAGACGGAGACACAAAATGACTACAAAGAGTGACCACAAAGACACAAAAAGACAGCAAAGGGTAATAAAATGGACACAAATAGACACCAAATGGCTACAAAGAGACACAACATGGCTGCAAAGGCACGTAAAAGGAGTATAGAGACACAAAATGGCCACAAGGGGACACAAAATGACTACCTAGAAATATAAAACGACTAAAAAGAGACACAAAATGGCCACAAAGTGGTGCAAAATAACCACAAAGAGACAAAAGAGACAAAAATGACTACAAGTGGTAACAAAATGGACCCAAAGAGACCCAAAATGACTACATAGCGAGCATTACTGCTTCACTGCTATGCATCGAGCCACTCACTTCAACACTCATCTCCTGTGCATAAGCTCCAGTGTACTCTGAGCCGTCGTGCAGAAAGGCCCCGTACGGTCCAACAGAACCAGCCACCAAGAGGCGTCTGTGTCCTTCACAGGGAAACAAACCAAACACAGTGACACCACAGTTCACAGCGACACAGAGTCACCAGAGTGTGCAGTTTCATACCACAGTCAAATCTGGTCACTGTCTCTTTGGCCAGATGAACTCCAGACATCAGCAGCTCTCTGGCGCCTTCAGAGCTCACATCCAGGTGTTCGATGAATCCTGAGATACTTGCCTGGTACGTAGCTGTTGTGATGACATCAGCACCACTGAGGAGAAAGCTGTAGATAAACAGTAACACGTTATTAAGTGAGATCCCACTAGTTTTGTTTATGACATGTGTACTTCAGTCAATCAGTTATCGGTTTGTTTAACCTTCAGTATCCCAGAGCACATTGTGATGTCTTTAAATGTCCTGTCATGTTACTGTAACTTATCATTTTAGAAACAGAAATTGCTTTTCAAAAATAACTACAATTGAATGAATTTATTACATGCAGCTTCTTTTCAGTTGAATATTTGCATGTGTGATATTTTGCATGGACCTACCTGTAGTGAGCATCTTTAATGGCCTGCGGATCAGTCTGCAAGAGCCTGGCACTCCACAGAGGATCCCCCTGTGACACCCACATTTACACCCACACTGACATTTAAGTCTGACTTTTAAAATCTGCATGCATTTGACTGAAAGAGCAACACTGATGTCAGTTTTCAGCTGACACATGACACTGTATAGTGTTGCACAAATCATATATAATTTCAGTTGTAAACAAATATTACTCAGAGAAAACAATACAATCATGACAACTGTTTATTTAGAATTAAATAACCTTTGAATTCATATTTATTTCGTTATTTAACTCATGTCCCTACAGATAACATGCCAGATGGTGGCCAGAGCCATGAATGAGGCTGAATCTCAGCCCTCAGAGAAATAGAAGGTAACATAGTCTGAGTGCAGAGCCAGTGGCTCCACCTAGTGGATTTGTTAAGGTAATTCAACTACCTTCCTAAAATTATACAGCATCAGCTGCAAAAACACAAAGGTCTTTTCCTTCTGTGGTGAAAAGATTGGGTAGATTACTGAACGGAGCATCCAGGTGGAGGTCCAGGAGCTCAAGAGGACAAGGAGTGCCTCAACCCAGAGCCTCTGTTAAAAGTGACTATTAAAAGTAATTTATACAACTACAAACAGATGCAAAAAACATAATATAACTACAAAGGGATGAAAAAAAAAATCACAAACCATAGAAAAGGACTTGAATGCCACCCAAAATGATGATTAAGAGACACACACAGTGGCCATAAAGCGATGTAAAACTGCTACACAGAGATACAAAGACACACAAAATCACAACATAGAAAAGCAAAGTGACTATAAAGAGACACAAAGTGGCTCTAAAGGCCCCACAAAGAATACGAACAGAAACAAAATGGCCACAGAGGGACACAAAATGTCTGCATAGAAACACAAACTGAACAGAGAGATATGCAAAACACCTGCAGAGAAGCACACATGCGCTACAGGGGGATGCAAAGTGACTACAAAGATGTCACAAAGACTACAAAAGAGACACAAATGCCTAAGATGTAAGACAATCTCCAGGGGCCTGTTGTCTCACAGTATGTGGAAATCAGCTGAGCACATTGACCAAAGTGCTGTACCTAATTACAGTTTGAGATACTTGCACAAGACTTTATTATGGAACTTAGTGCTTTTACTGCACTACACATACATGGCAGTTGGTGCTTTTTCTAGATAAAGCTTTGTCAAAGGTATGTAACTGTTGCAGGGCAAAGCAGTGTGTACTTTTCACATGTGACTTTCAGCTACTAAACTACCCAGCGACAATGTAGTTTTGACAGATATATCTGTAAGTCTGTCATTTACAGCGCTAGATTAACATTTATTTTACTTTTAATTGAGATTAAAATAAATATAATAAATTCAAGCAACCCCACAGAAAAAAAGACAATAGTGAAAAACTGCAATAGAGATTACATTTTGTTTAATTCACTGACACGTAGTTATATCTGGTCGTAACAACATATGCCCTGTATTGGATCTAATCACATGGCTGAAAAACAAACCACTTGTAAACACGAAGACATGGAGCTTTGCAGTGTAGCCTAACTACAGCAGTGAAGCCTAACTGAGAAACCAAAACTGACTAGCAAAATAAAGACCCAGTGTGAAGTAGGTGATTCTATTTTTTGATAATTATGTGTTGTTTCACCTGCAGTTTCGCTCCTTGCGCTTCTAATTCAGTTGCAAGTCCACCATCCAAGATCAAAGGTCCATTATCATTTACAAGTTGTTTTAGAGAAACAGTGGAACTCATGAAGAAATCGTATATTTACGAAGTACTGCAGTTATATATAAGACTGTATTTCACACTAAACAAATGCAGTGGATTATATAATACTATAAACGCAAACTATTTCGAAAAGAAAAACGCAATCAGACGCTTAAATACCGCTATAAATGACAGTCTTGAGCCTGACTTCTCAGTTTGTTGTTGTTCCGGGTGACGGAGGGATCGAAGGTTGCATTTAAAGGCGCTCGAAACTTTGAGGCTTCGGCTGATTCCGACCTTTACAGTACCACCACTACGTGACGTATTGCATAATAAGACGAAGCTTAACTGAGCTATTCGACCATAACGTAACACAACACAACATTTCCTGAAATATTAAGTTAGTGTGATTTACTTCGCTTGGAGGAAACACCACTTTAAAAAGGCTAACAGTACAACCAGGTTAAGGCTTTTCGGACATTTTACTGCTCCCGCGCTAATACTCAAATACCTAAATTTAATCGTGAATTTGATGTAGTATATTTCATGTTGTGTCCAGGATTTATATAGCAACAATAAACTTTAATTAACAACTAGTGCACATGAGCGGTTGATATTAATCAACTAGAATGTAATAAGGTTGTTTTAACTACAAGCTACTCTGAACTCACCACGGTATGTCACTACCGTTACTATAGAAACGAAGCACAGCCCGGGATTGCTAACGTTTGCTAGCTTACTGCAGTATAGACTCATGTAGTTGTTTTATTTTTTATTTTTACAACAAATGGTGAGTTGGAATTCATTTCTTCCATATCTGCGGTATGAGTACCGTGTGTGGTCAAAGTTAGAACTCCAGTTACAGCTTGAACGACCCGAACTGGTAGCTGTACTGTGACGTTAGCTTAGCAACCACATGATAGCATAACAGCTAACATTACGCGAACTCAAACTAGTTAGTTCGATCAGTAGGTTAGGCTTTTTTAAATACTGGCTTTTTGGAGAAGCCAAGTCAAGTTATATAACATTGAGACGCAACTTTTCAATAAAAACCGGTGCTAAATAAGTTAGTTAACTAGCTAATATCTATGGGTGAGCACTGATGCTCGTTAATCGTTAGCTAAAGCTTTACGTTTCCGTTGTTTGTACAGCTTATTTCAAACATCAGCTGTTGAGCCAAAGTATTTTCCAATAGAGAAATAAGAGTGGCGTTAGAGATTCACCCAACAAGGTTAAATGACCGCAAAGTAGTAACAAACGCCTACAAAGAGACACAAGGGAGTCACAGAGGGATGCAAAGTGACTACAAAGACAACACAGAGATAACAGACACACAAATGTTAAGGCCTAAAGATATACCAAATTGTCACAAAGATATACAAAAATAAGTGGCTACAAGCAATATTTTGTGTGTCTTTCAGTATGGGTGTCTTGAGCGGTGTGGGGCCGTCTCATTATACGTAGAAAGTAACTTAGTACATTTACTAAAGTACTGTGCTTTAGTACAGTTCTGAGCTACTTGTATTTCACATGAATAATTACATTTATAGAGCTTTTACTCCCTACACATATTTCACAACTATAGTTACAAGTTACTTTCTAGAAAAAAGATTTTAAAAGCCTTTTATGAGACAGACATAAAATATAATGCATTAAAAAAACTACAGTAAAGCACCACAACATAAATATAAAATGGACTTGGTAAAGATTGTACACAGTCCATTTACTAAACTGTAACCGAGGTTACATTTAGAGAACAGAAATGAATACACTTCTGTACTCTTTGTCACTGAAATGTCAATGATTCAAAACTGTATCACCGTATAGTAATTTCCTGCAAAGTGTTTTCCAATAAAGAAATAAGATTCTCATTATGAATTTACCTAACAAGGGTAAATTTTAAGAGTAAGTCCCTACAGTATTATTATGTACGTTAACTGAGTGATTTCAATCTTACAGTTACGATTCTACTATATAATATAGAATACATAGTTGTACTAAGTAATTTAAATATTAGGCTTAAGACACTCAGTAGTATATAAAATACAAATTACCAGACTAGGATAAATATTAAGAACCTACAGTATTATATATTGCATTGTTGCCATTATTGTTGACAATTATCTTATGTTTTTAGTTCATTAAGTTGTATCATTGAGCTCCATGTTTTACACAGTATATTTGGTGAAGCATATTGGCTGGTGATTATATTTTGGGTTGTTTTGACTTTTAAAGAAAACTCAACTGTCTCAGATTGAATGATACCTTACTGGTTAATGTAGTAGGTTAACTACTTTGACATACATACTCCAAATCAGTATCAGTAGTAGGTTTACACTTAACAGTATGCACTTTCTCTGCTCAAACAAGACAGTGAGATCACATCTAACTTGCCTGTGGTTGTGGGCAAGGTAATCTGTCTAAAAAATAAATAAATAAAATCAAAGAATACCTGAATTTGGTGTTATCCGCAATCTTTGGCAAACAATACAAAGTTTGACTTTACACTGCACCTACAACTTCCCCTCCTATAGCAGAACAGAAAGACTGTTTATTTTCTTTGCCTAACCAATCAGGGTCATGCGGTTGAAGCTTTTTCAAGTCAACAATAGGTAAAAGACACCTAGGACATATTGTTCTTCACTGACATGCTCACATCAGTGTTAAGGACAAAGTCTTCCATTCACCTGACTTGCATGACTTTGGGCTGTGGGAAAAAAAAACTCGAGCTCCTATGGTGACCATCTGCATAGAAAGTGCTGGAAGCCAAACAGGCTTGTGTTGCTATGAGGCAGCAGTGCAAACAAATGATTATTAGTGTGCACTGCACTTAATTATTTTTTGTTGACAAGATGAATGAAATCAGGTTAAGTTCTGATGCTGGCTCATCCTACATCACTCCAACCTGCTTTTTACAATCACACTTTTTCAACACTATTGCAACACAGTTACTTCTGGTAAGCTGCCATACTAATAAGGATTTTCAAAAACCTTTAAATGTTAAGTTTCTGTGAACATAGACTTGCAAAATATGCGAACCTACCTACCACAGCCGACAATTGCACTACACTCTTGGAAGGAACATTTAGCAATGTGAAATTTACATGGATTAGGTAATCCAGCACTGTAAATAACAGACTTACAGATATTTCTGTCAGAACTACATTGTCACTGGGTAGTTCTGTAGCTGAAAGTAACATTTCAAAAGTACACACTGCTTTGCTTTGCTTTGCTTTGCAACAGTCATACTTTTGACAAAACGAAATGTAGACCTAATATTTACTATATAGTATGTCTTAACTCAAGTATGGTTCATGTCTGTGCAAGTTGATTTCACAATCAGAACACTTGCTGGCAAGAGAGGAGGAAGGCACATTTGAAAGTATCAAAGACCAAAGGTTACACTGAAGAAGAATTAATAGTATTGTAATGTGATTTAATGTAAGTTAGAAATATGTGATTTTTAGAAAAGGACTAAAACATAGAAGTACACTTTAATTGTGTGGACAGTCAGGAGTTTCCTTGGTTTCACTGAGTGTAATTGTGAAACCATTCTAAATCTGTAAACAAGGCCTGTACAAATATATTTCACATTAATATCTTAATTTCAATTTTTATTTTTAGGCAACATCATGATGTCTTTATGAGCTTATTACATTTCAAAATGGGCTATTCTCTGGCTTGTATCTGATTTGATCTCTGTCTCGACTCTTTCAGGAGGATCGCTTCGCCTTTCTTGCTGAGTGGTATGACCCCACTGCAGCTCTCCTGCGGCGCTACCAACTGTTCTACTACCCTAAAGATGGCTCAGTGGAAATGGTACACATATATTACTGCACTTATTGATTGCTTCTGCTTTTTTAAAGGCTTTTTATAACAGAAAAGCTGGTGTGAGAAGAATCTATCAAACTTTTCTGCCCCAGAATTAGAGTATTTAAGAAGATTTATTAGGCAAAGTGTCAATATTTTTCCTGCATCAAGGAATTTTTGGTGTCCCCACAGAGAAATTTTCACCAGTGGCAAAAGAAAATCACCAGCACCATAAAACATGGAATAGGGAGTAAAAATAGCGGTTCAGTTTTTTGACCAGCTTCATTTGCCCAAGCATAATACATTTTTAAAAAAATCTAAAATAATATGCATTAATTTATGTCAAATAAGGAAAAGACACACTTGTTATTTTTACTGTACATGGCCTGATCACGCTCACTGAAGTGCGTAATCAACAACTAAAGGTTTATTCTGAGCCAGAAGCCAACCCTGAATGTAAACATTATCTTGATGTAAACTAACTGTGCATGACACTAACAGCATGTGAATAAAACTTTGACAAGAAAGATGATTTTATAAATTTCAATTTTAAATTGGCAGCTGTATGATTTATTTTGTACATATTTTATTTATTTTTGATAAACCATCCTATTTGCTTTCATTTTCAGTTTGATGTAAAGAACCAGCGAATATTTTTGAGAAGGACCAAATACGACAACATTCATCAAGAGGACTTGTTTGTTGGGAATCGAGTGAATGTGTTCTCTCGGCAGCTAAATCTGATCGAGTATGGGGATCAGTTCACAGCAAACAAACTTGGCAGCAAAAAAGAAAGGTATTGTTGGTTCAGACACTTTTTGCACACCTTATAGTGTTGTAGATTACATTTTAAGTGGATAAAATGGACATTTTTGCTCATCAGTTTACACTCAATAACTCATAAGGACAAAATAAAAACGTGTTTTTGAATTTTCTTTAAATTTATTAAAAGTCCATAACTTAAATTTCTAATTTACAAAAGTAATCAATTCCTTTACTGTGGCACTCTTAGTTGTTGTCAGATTCATTTTGTTTGCGTGAATAATCCTTGAGGTGTGTGTTGAACTTGATTAGAGTTCTCCTTTGTCAGGCTGAATTCATTAGACAGAGTTTAGAAAGGCACGCATCTGTACATAAAAGATCCCACAATACACACTGCATGTCAGGACAAAAGCCAAACCATGAAGTCCAGAAACTCTCTTTAGACCTCTGTAATAAAACTGCGGAGAATCAGAGATCAGGGCAAGGATATAAAAACATTTATAAAGCTCTGAGTGTTTCCAGGAGCACAGCAGCCTCAATAACTGAGAAATAGAAGAAGTTTGAAACCACTAGGATTTGTGCTAGAGTTGGCCGTTGGGTCAAATAGAGTAACAGAGCAAGAAGCGCCCCTCCAATGA